TGATTACTCTCCGCCTTAAACGTGCTCTATTTTAGGATACGGAAATCAATATATTGTGAGTTACAAGCATGGGCACAGCTAAAAAAAGTTTTAAAAATGTTGTTATACAACTTTTAAATAAGCTCTGTTCGAGTTGTTATCATTAATAAAAAAAAAGCAGCCTCATTCCCCTTTAAAGTTACAAATCATGATTTATTTAATATTTTTGCAAACAGTCCTTCTCTGTATGTCTGTACTGAAAATGTTATATCACACAAAAATGAGAACTCAAACTCCCTACGTGCAGAAGAGCCAATAATGAAAAAAAAAAAATAAAAAAAATAAAAAAATCAGCAGAGCAGAGTTCAGGGACTTGGAGCGAGATTCAGCTCAGGCTAATTTGTTAGTGGAGCGGAGAAAGGGAAGAGAAGCAGATGGAGCTGTCATTAGGAACAATGACCAGCAGCTGTCTGCCCTGTTCAACACACACTCACCCCTGACCTGGCCCTGAAATCCCTTTGAATCCTGTGAAATATAACTAGAACTGAGTTTATAACAAGGTAAAGATAAAAACATCTAAATCACTCTGAAAAACAGATTCCTTCACTCAATGCAATGAGGAATTTGGCATTTTTACTTTTTATTTTGAAACATACTCCTTTAAAGGAGTGTATGTTTTGTTCAAAAACTCAAACTTCTAAACTATTGGAATTTTATTGTCTCTGTTTTATCAGCAGAGCATTTAATTCACGTAAATGAAAAGCTGAGGACAGTCTCAGGGTGTCCCAGTACAACTTTTCCATTTCTGATGCAGCTTTTAGTAATGAGCGATATCTACATTGAACCGATAAGATATCCGCATGAATCATACATACTATCACTCATTTTTTACTGTGGAATGTTAGCAAAGGCTTGATGAAGTGATATTACTCAAATAGAGAAAAACAGCACGTATTAGAAAAACTGACCCATTTATTATAAACTAATTGGCTAAATTAACTTTAACCAGAACTGTATGAAAACAATTGGTTTCTGTCAGCATCTTTACATCGAATATTTTAGATGCATGCTGACATATTTGTTTGTGGGGAGTGGCAGCCTACTTGTAAGGGCATTGCGCTTGGAATCCTGAGGTTCTGAGTATGAGCCCCACTCCCACAGACTGCCACTCTGGGTCCCTGAGCCAGACCCCTAACCCCACACTGCTCCCTGGGCGCCGCACAAAGGCAGCCCACTGCTCCCCATGGGTTAAATGCAGAGAGTTAATTTTGTTGCTCTGTACTTGTGACAGTTTAATGAAAATAAAACGATGAAAAAAACATCCTGATATATATATATATATATATATATATATATATATATTTAAATCTGACTAATTTACAATATCAGTACTGGATAGGGAGATCCCTAATAAGATCCCCAGCAAAAACAGCTGGGGAGACCCAAAATAATAATAAGATTTAGGGAAGGAGTAATCTGGCTCCTATCAGGTCTTATCAGGAGCCTTCAGTCAGTTTAAACTATCATTGTTCTAATTATTTGAATACATATACAGACATGAGGAAAGAATATTGGTTCCTATCAGGCTTTAAAATGCTTTAGCTACAATCCTAGACAAAAAGCTGATCATGATTATATGGCATATTTGTTTAATTAACAAAGGTTAGGCAACAATGAAGATGATAGGTCCAGAATAAACTAAATAAAACCTTTTTTTTTATTAAATATTTAAAAGCAGTCCCATGGTGCTAATTAAAAGATTTACTTGATCTTTAAGAAGTGGAACTAAACTTCAGTTTAGCTTTTTTTAAAGATATGTTTTCTTTTTTTTTATTGTTATTTATGTCATGGTATGTGAGTTTGCTGTCTGAAAACATTATGATTAGCCCCCCCTCCAAAAAAAAAAAACTACTGATGGCACTTTATTAGAAATACATCTGATTATTCTAATGTAGAAATCTATTTTAAATGTGTAGAATGTGTGCACTTTGATGAGGAGACATTCACTTCTGTCATCCAACTGAGATTTCACGCTCATCTGCTTAGAGAGCTCCTTCCAGGCAAGTCCGCCTCGCCGTCGCTCTCTGCTTCCTTAATTTTTCTATTTCTCTTTGCTTACTGGGCTGTCAGCCCAGCCAAAGTCACATTAAGAGATAAGAGTGGGAGGAGAAGGGAGACCAAATACCAAATGCATTAGGGCTATTAATCAACATTAACAAATGTAAGGGAGCGGCTGCAAATTTGGGAAAACACAAGCATGGACGGGTGCATTTATCAAGGTGACACTTTAAAACTCACATTAACCAAAAAAGAAATATCACAATGTTTCTTGTGGTTTGCTGCAAGGGGCAGAAAATAAAGTGCAACAGCAGATGTCAGCATTTGTTTGATGGTCGACTGTAGCATGTTGGAGAAACAAACGACTGAATAATGCCTAATCACAGAGGTTTTTTCATTTTTTTATTTTATTTCCTGGATTGTAATAGGTTTCTTTTTTTCTTCACACTGGCCGGAAATGGTTTTACAAATGCTTGATGAGAATATTTCTTTTTCAAAGCACATCAAACAGGATGTTTTCTACTAAACACTGCATGAAGATCTGCTGGGAAGACAGCATGAAGCATTTAGCAGATCACATGCATTGATGGAAAATTACATGATCACCTCTCTTTTCTTTAGTGTGCTGTCTTAAAGGTATATTAACTGAAAAAAAAAAAAAAAACCCCAAAACAATAATATATGACTTTATGCTGTATTTTTTTCTTTCTGATGTCTATCTACATTTATTGAAGGAACTTCAGATAAAACATACTTTGAAATAAAGCATCCTTATAAATCCACGATTTGTTCCAATAATGTGCATTTTTATAAACATTGATCCAAGATGGAGAACTTTTTCTGGTGTTTTAATGAAATGTTTGCATCAAAACATCATGTTATAAGAGGACCACTAAGTAGGAACATAAATTATATAAAAAAAACTTGCTGCAACGGCTTTCCGAGTGTTTTTCAAGCTGATTTAGAACCAAGGAAATTGGGAGGGAGCTGTTATTGGGATCCTCTGTAAACTACAGTAGGACTGTCACATCAAGGGAATCAGGGCGGAGCTAAACTTGTAATATTGTGGCTTCTGTCAGTACAGATAATTCAAGACCCAACTATTACGATACCGCAAAGCTTTATAATAAGCATTTAGTTGCATGTTTTTAAATCGATTTACAAAAGTAATTAAAACTTCAAAGATCCAAAATCTGATTTCAAAACAAGGTCTAACATTTGAAAGTGCAAGTGATGGGTGGATCCGCTCAAAGTAATTAGTTTACAATTTACGATTAAATGAAAATTCACTCTGTATAGTGTCGCATCTTTTTAGCCTCATTCGCACAGGGAAGCATAATCAGCTCTCTAAACTTATCAGATGTTTATTCTTAAGCTTTGCCTTCACAAATAAAGAGCCTTTATTTATACAAACGTGACGAATGAAATAAAATATACGTTAAACATGAAAACAAAACTAAATCAAAAATGGCTGTTTGCGTATGAAAAATATCTCTGTCTGCCTTCAAGCAGCTGAATAAACCACGTTACATTATTTTTATATTTTTCCAATTCAAACTTTATAAGAATATATAAAACTAAATAGCAAATATTTTGGGATTTTTTTTAATGCTAGTGAATCCTGAAAGTCACCCCTCCTTATTTTGTAAACTTAAAATGGATAAGCCTCATGCAAAAAGTGAAGAAATCTTAAACTTCTTACATCAGTATTACATGATCTGCAATACTAGTTTGATTGATTCAACCTGATCAAGCCTATTGAAGGCAGACTAATATTTTCCTTCTAAGTTGCTTTAGTCTGTTTCTCACCAGCAGTCGTGTTCAGTGTGTTTGTTTTGGTTTAACTGTGATCTAATATTTCAAATATTTCAAATGGGACAGCTGATATAAAATCAGCATCACACAAACAAACATCTTTTCTGTTGCAAAACATCAGAGTAATCAAACAGGTTTTGTATGAGTCTTTGATTTTTGGTAAATCTGTTATATCAAAAGCAAAATTTCAAAATCTGCGATATTCAACATGATTGCATTTAAAATTTTCGGATTAAAGAGCTATTTTCCCTAATAAGGTCACGGACAAATTCTGCCTGAGAGATCAGATCAAGATCAGTGTCTGAACTTAAAGAATCTTCGCTATAAACCTTCAAAAAGTCTTCTTCTTTTCTTTATTTCTGAAATCTCAGCAGGATCTGAGATTGTAACTCAGTGGATAAACCTTGTGACAAGTTGGCTGGACTCGTCTCTTCTGAGCTCCCTCATAATCATATCATGAAGAGGGCCAAGAGGTCTGTCCAGGTTTCAAGTGCCTCATGAATAATCAGAGAGTCACATTGGATTTTAATGCCTACTGTGAGGCCCTCCACACGAGAGGATAGATGGCTGTACCTTGCTGTGTGTGTGAGAGAGTGTGTATGAGAAAACGGATGATGGAAATGTCTGAAAATCCTTTTGTGTTCCTAATTAGCAACCTTTCTGACACAGCTGACATTGCAGAGGGAGAGAGGGTTCGAAAGCCCTCAAAAAAAGACAAGTGTGGCTTTTTTGTGCCTGAAACCTCTCTGACTAGATGATGTGAGGCTCTCATCCTCCTAACATGACCGGTCGGAAAGTTGAAGCAGCTCAGGTGGAAGTCATGACATGAGAGGTTGGTTTTAGCTCAGTTCAATCCTTGACAGGAATCCATTCTATGCATTTTGAAGTTGTAGCTCAAAATGTGGACTTTTTTTTTCAGTGGATGTGGATTTAATACTGCAAGACTTTTACTTGTTAACATTTTTGGTAAGATAACTTGTGTTAAGCACCTTTGTCAGCTAAGTAATAAATTATAATATACGACCATTTTATTTGTACTATAATAAAAATGTCATTTTACTATAACAGGAACAATCAATCATCCAAGAATATGTTAAAATCTAAATGTAAAAAAATTGAAATATCTGCAGATGGGAAGATTTCCAAACCTTGGTGTCCGTACTGAGGTCCTTGAGGTCCATAGGGACCCGTGGGGCCACTCTGTGAATACGGACCCATGCTGGGATACATTGATCCCCCCTGTGAGGGGTGGGGAGACATAGGAGGTCCGGACTGGGGAGGTGCAAACTGGGATCCAGGCTGGTTCCTTTGCATGTTGGACATGCAACCTGATAAAAAAAAACAAAAATAATTAAATGACAAAAAAAAGCCCTTTGCTTCCAAAAAGGGAAAATAGATTAGATAGATTTTATCTTTAAGTCTGTCAGGTATTTGTGCAAAAACAGCTGGAAAGTCATTGTGTCAAGAGCTATGTTATTTAATACTGTTTGAGTGACATTGGGTTTAGCATCTAGTAGAAGTTTTGGCTAATGCCTGCTGCAAACTGAAGGTGCTCTGCATGTCCTGCTCTGCTGCATGTTGTCAGCAGTGTGGTGCTGCTGACCCTGATATGTTGGCTATGTAATAGGGACCAAATGTGGTAGGTGTTTAGGTTTATGCTGCAATAAATAAAGATAAAAAAAATATCTATTTTTATTCTTTCTTAAAAACAACCCAAACTGGTTGTTAGTATTGTCAGTGTGCAAAAAGCCTAAATATAACAATTGACTGACAGCTTATATAGAAAACATAAAGTATTGAAATATGAACAATTATATATATATATATGCATTTATCTTTTGGACAATAAAATAGTAAGAAACAAGAAATGTAAATGTTTTCCATATTTTAGAAAAAACAATTTAATTAACTTCTTTTGGCTTAAAGAGAAGATGCCTTTCTGACTGTAGGAGAGAGGATATTCTTCTTTTTATTTAGCAGCTATTGCTATGATAAGAGGATCTGATCCCTAACCTCTCTGTTACCTACTGTTACTCATATATATACACTTCATATAAATGAAACAGGTATTTGGAAAAAGGAACAGGCTGACATCTAAATGGATCCTTGGACACATAAACAGACAAAGCATACAGTGAGTGCTATTGCTGACAAAAGCTGAGTTTAAGTACACACCTGGCCTTAGAGATGCATGTAGCAATAAAAGCTGAGTGGACATGTAAAAGTTTTGCTCTGGGTTAAAACCCACAGCAGAGCTGGTGATTCGACCATGGCTACTGTGTTATTCTAATCTGCTCTGTCAATAGGCGTGTTAAAGCCTCTCAGGCCCAAACTTGCCTGCACCATTCAAATTGACATTTTGCAGCGATCCTTGCCTGGGCTTTGCTCTTTCAAGCTACTACGTTCCTGCTTCTTTTTTAGAGTACTGAAAGGTCTGCCAATTCGCCACAAATGGAGAAAGGTCGCTGGGCGGCCATTGAGGGAGAAAAGCGCCAGTGTGGGTGTAGAAATGTGTGTGCATGCCAGCACGGTGTTGCAGATTAGGTGTAAATGGATTGGGTTTGCTCGGCTGTATACTTGGACAGCCATCCGCTTTGTTGAATGGGCGCGCGCAGGCTGACTCTTTAGTGGGTTTGGGGGAAACAACGGAAAGCTGACACTTGTGTAATTCCTTGTTTCTGCTCGAGAGCAGGGATATTGGAATGGGAGGCAGAAGTTTGAAAATGTTCTGAAGTTTATTGCTGTGCATATGGATATACATATTTGCTTTCCGAGTGCGCGTGTGAGTGGGAGATAAAGTTAGAGAGCAATAAATACTCTGCTTGAGTTTTTTGTACTGCAAAGAGACGCAGGCCTAAGCAGAAAGTGTTTCAGCGAGAGAGAACGTGTGTGTGGGAGGAAAAGACAGAGGGAAAAGAGCGATTGGGGCCTGAAAGTGCTTAGGCTGCGAGTGCTGGGTTTAAGGAGCGAGGACATTATTGTAATGTTTTGCTTCCATTAGGGTAAGGGGATTCTGGTAGAGGAGGAGAAAAAAATACTGAGGGTAATACTGCACTTTAAATTGCCTGGAAAATGGATGGGTAGAGGAACATTGTGCAGACAGTGCTAAAAGCAAATAACACATTCAAGGATTTTTCTCCTCATCTCTCTCTCTCTGTGCTACGTTTCCCCTTCGCACACTAACACAGACCGTTCTCTTGTTCTGGCACCGACGCTCTTAGCTGGACAAGAGTGAGCACGCGAGAAAAAAAGTAGGAGAGGGAAAAAAGGGACGGTCAGTGGATTTATCGAAATGAAGAGCGGAGAGAGGCTCTTAGGGAGGCCAGCACTTGAGCAAAGTGTGGAGTAGAGAGCGTATGGAGGGAGGGGGTAAATCTGAGCATGGCAAAAAACAGCATAAACAACAGCCGACCCTGTTAACCGTGCTGAGCTTTCCTGGACTCAGCTGGGGGGGAGGCGGGGGAAGTTTGAGGTTTACAGGCATTAGAGAGCAGCATTAAATCTCCAACTTGATTTCATCAGTGCCCCACTCTCTCCCTCTGTCTTCATCCATCCACTCCCTCTGTCTCTCCGTGATTTTAACTGCTCTTTGGTGGGTGATGGAGAGGGACTCTTACAGTCATTCCATTAAGGTCTCTTTCTAGTCATTCAGGCTTTTTGCAGGGTTTTGTGAAAACAAAAACAAATAAGAATTGCAAGATTTACTCATTTTGCTTTTTTTTGAGGACCTAAAAAGTGTTTTCAAATCCTGAAAACTAACTAGAGTTTTATTAGAGCAGAGGTGCTCACGTCCAGCCCTCAAGAGCTACCATCCTCTAACTCTTACATGCATCTCCTCTTTAACACACCTGAATCTAAAGTCTTGGTGTAGGCTTACATTTTTACATTGGGATCAATTCAACAAATAATCAATAACAGCTTTCCAAATATTCATCCTGGACGTTTACCTGCATTATCAGGCCACAACACCTGATTGTTTAATTATCTTTGCCTGAGCCAAAGGAAGGAGAAAACATTTGACTGTAGAGTGGATCTACAAGAGAGATAGTATCTCTTGAAGTAATAGTTTGAGGAATGCATAACTGCAGGATAAGTAAGAACTGGCAAAATAAACACTTTTTACATGACAAAACAAAGCTCACACAGGATAACCCACAAATATAAAGTAGGCTATCACATCACAATAAAATAATGGTTGTAACTGCAGCACAACATGAAATATATCTAGATGCTCTCAAAAAGTAGCTTTTGTAACTATAAGTCATTACCTATTGTGGTCAGTCAGATGCATAGCTCTTTAAACCCCCCCACATAGTGTTGGCATGTTATGTCTTCATGCTTGTAATCTCCGAGATTTATTATGACTTTCTCCCTTTTCCCTGATTATCTCATCATATAAAGCTTAACTTTGCGAGTTGAAAAGTGAGTGGCAAACTGTCTTCTAGCTAATGTCATATGGGTTTTTGGTTGCATTTTGATTTCTTTTCTTACATGTTTGTGTATTTCTCACTTTCAGGCATGAATCTTTTATAACCTACGATCCTAAAGAAGAAAAAGGTGTAAAAACAACAATACACGCCCATTAAGTTTATCTTCCCATAAAGAGTTTTCTACGGCCTCTTATCTTCATGCAGCCCCGTGTGGTGTGGAATGGAACAAAACATATTGTTTCCATTTAAAACCTTTCCCTTTCAGTGAACAAGTAAAGCACAAACATAGCATTGCATGTACTGGCCCTTCTGAGGATTGGTCTGCACGTTTAGCTAAAATAAAAAAAATGTTCCATGACAAGATGCATGCCCAAAAACAACATTCCCTCTTATATATATATAGACCTACCTCTCTCCTGAGCCATGGGGGAGCGTGTGACTGGCAGATGGGATGCATCTGGTCCATTTCCAGAGCTCAGTGGGGCCACAGCTGGACCTGCAAGGCAACATGAAGTTTAGTTAAGGGATTGGATTCATGCGATGAGTTATCTATTGTTATAATCTTGTTCTTGAAACAAATACTGTCTTGGGAAAAGAACACTTTAAGTGTGAGCCGTTTTCCCTTGTTTGTTTTTTAAAGTGAGGTTGAACGTAAATTGATTTTTACTTTGTTTTCTTCTTCCCAGCTTGGAAGAAAAGAATAATGGAAGAAAATCATGGAATCACGTTTGTTTTCTGCTGCACAAAAGATAAACCTTGCCAACATTTTGTTTTTGTAATTTAAGGGGCAAAGAAATCATAAAGGTTTGGATACCGAGGCTTTTATGTGCCAACACACAAAGTTGATTGGCACCAACCATGAAGCAAATGACAATTCAACTCTAGTAAGACATATCAAGACATTGGCCCCAATGTCGCCTTTTTGTGTAATCGTTAAAACTAGAAGGACCCACCAATATAAAAACACAGCCAACTGAGGATCATTGATCAGGTTTGCTGTGAAGGTCTTTGGGCTGTGACTGTTCCATTGAAATCCAATAGTGAGTTAAGGGTCTGATTAGGACAATGGCAGACAGAGAGTAAGGTGGATTGATTTGGCCTAAAGGAAGGAAAGAGATGGCGAATTAACCTTTATCTCTAAATTCAAGCACTGAAAGAAAAAGGATGAATAAGGACAAAAGGATTTCAGGTGTATCTAAAAATATAAAATTATAAAAAAAATTTTTTTTATTATATATATATATTTATGCAGAATTTCTACTTACAAATTAAAACTCACGTTGAAGTGCAGCAGTTTAAGTACTTATTTTTATTTACCTTATTTATTTTAATGAATGTAGCTTAAAACTCATAAATAGAGGAGTGAAAAAGTGTACAATGTGGTTAAATTGTCTCTGGAAAGTGCTTTGAGATGACGTGTTGTGAATCGGCACCTTAAATAACAGCAATAACTAAAAGAATTGGTTCATCAATTCAGTCTTAAATGGAGTTGAGCAACCTTTGGCTCTGCTGGGGTCAGACTCCAGCTTTTGTGTGGTATGTATTTTATCCTTTCTGTTATCCATGGGATTATAAGAAAAAACATGTTTAATAACTATATCTTAGTAATTTTAGTGGCTTCTAAAAAATAATCATGTCTATGGTCTAATTTTCTGTGAGAGACATTAAAGTAAAAGATACAAAAACTGTTTTTTCAGACTGCAAACATTATGGTGTAAAAGGATGTATTTCAGGCAACTAGTGTGGCTACTCAAAGATACATGGCAAAAAACCTTTGTAAAAACAGTCTGCCCTTAAAGAACAGTTCTACTGGCCTTTGTGAAATTCTCAGGAGTGAATAAATGTGTGTGCCTCAGGCCCCAAGCAGGGCTTTGTAGCAAAAACCTCTTCAACAAGCAGTCTGCCCTTTTCAAGCAGTCCTACTTGCCTCAGAGAAATCTCAGGGTGCAAACAGGAGTGTTGCTAAATCCCAAAGCACGACTTTTCAAATACTTCCTCAAATGAGTATCGAATCTTTACTGACATGTTGCTTTGCTGGTGTTGCCAAAATTTTACATCTTTGCATGAGAAAAAAAAGTTAAAGATGGAAATATGCAGAAACAAGAGTGTATAAAAGAAATAATAATTTGAATATTTAACTTGCCCTTTTAATTAACAAGTCGTTAAAGCTTTTTTTCATTAAAATGAGTGTAATGTTATTATGGGATAACTTTATGTTGCTGGTACTGTCTGCTACAGTATGTGGGCAACAGTTTAAAAAGTTGAAAAAACTGTGGTGTTATGGTGCTGAGGGTCATGATTTTGGCACTGATGGCTGGCCTAATTGCTCACTCCATTCACCTGTCTAACTCTGCCTGGTTGTTCAGTATTGCTAATCTGATCCACCTGCTGCTGCTTCTATTTATACGGCTCAGTCCCAGCCATCGTGGCCAGATTACTGATGCTCCTGCTTTGGTGCTCATTCTTGAGGGCCAGCGGAGAGCGAGTTTTTTAGCGTCCCGTAGTGTTTCTGATTTCCTGATCTGATCAGAAATCAGGAGACATCTATTGCAATCAAGTAACTGGACCAACGCTGTCTGGCAATTAAGTAGTCTAATAAGTGGACTTTGCATCAGAAACAAGTACATCGAATGCATATACTGTATGAGTAATTGAACTGAATTGAGAACTGTCTGACATGCATCTCGAGGAACTGGGAACAGATACATAGACAAAAACTTAAGGATATAATTACCGACTCCATATTTTATCTGTATTACACATTATATTGATTAATTGAAACTGAAGAATTGAGGATGACAATTTACTAAATATTAAGATACTGGAAACTAAAAGACAGTTATGTTCTTAATTAAAGACTGTTCATGTTTTGCCTAATTTGTGAGTATTATTGTAAGAAATTCTATGTTTTATGTATTATCAGGCCGAGAGCTATGATAGAAATGAAAGTCAAGAGTTCAGCTCACTTATTGCAACCTTCACAAAGAGAGTGGCAATACAAAACTGTTCGTCTGAATCTATGTGTATTAATGTATATATGTAGATTAATTTAGTTGTTTTGTGTAAGTCGTTTTGCTTCAATATAAATTCTAACTATGAATTTAAAAAAAAACATGATCTTCGCTGTTACATAAATTTAAATTGCCCATATTATCATATGCAGTCTTAGAAATAAATTAAGTGATTTAATAAACATATTGCAAATAATAATTTACAATATTGACAGTGTCTGAAACTCATGTTGACTCTACATTAGATGATTTAAATTTAATGATAAATGCATACAACATATTTAGGAAAGAGAGAAATATATATGGAGGAGGAGTTGCTATCTATATACAAAATCATATACCTGTTCAAGTGATGCCAAACTTAATGCATTCTGGTATTGAAACAACTTAGTTAAAAGTTAGTCTGAAACATCTAAAACCAATACTTATAGGGTGCTGTTACAGACCTCTAAATGCTAGTAGTGAATATTTGGATCAAATATGTGATATGTTAGATCATGCTAGTAGTAGGAACCTGGAAATTTACTTAATGGGTGATTTCAACATAGACTTGAGTTCTTCTGACTGTCCTTGGAAAAACAAATGAATGTGCACATCAATAGCATGTGGATTATCACAGATAATCAATAAACCAACAAGAATGTGTATAAAAAAAGGATGGCACTCGATCAGCTTCCTGTATTGACCACATGTTTATAAATTGACTAAAAGTGTTCTCAAATAGCTTATCCGTGCCCGTTGGTTTTAGTGACCACAATCTTCTTGCAATTGTAAGAAAAACAAAAGTTCCTAAAATGTGTCCAAAAACAGTAATGAAAATGTAATTTAGAAGTTTTAACAATTTACAATAAAAAGATAATGTAAGAAATACAAACTGTTCAGAGGTGATATTACAAATGGATCCAGAGAAGGCATTTCAGCTTTTTGATCAAACCTTAATGAGCATCGTAGAAAATCATGCACCAATTAAAAAGTCTACTGTTTGAAATGTTTACACCCCGTGGTTAGATCAAGAATTAAAAGATCTTATGAAAGAGAGAGATCTAGACAAAAAAGCAGCAATTATACCTAAATTTAAATCGGACTGGCAAGTTACAAGTATTGTAAACCTAGAAATGTTGTAACCGAGGTAAAAAAGAAAAAAAAAAAGAAATTGTACTATACTAAAAAAATTATAGAAATTAAACATGATAGTAAACAATTATGGAATACAGTGAATAATATATTAAGAGGAAACAATAAATCAATTCCAGCTTATTTAGAACATGAAGGTGAATTTTATATAAGAGATGTAACGAAGCATATTAATGATTATTTATTTAAACAATGAAACAAACTAAACTATACCACACAGCTATGCAACACAAATTTATCAAATACACTAATAAATAAGATGATGGAGGGTAAAACATGTAGTTTTAAATTCAAGAGTGTAAGTGTTTCTAAAGTGGAATTACTTCTGATGAATTGTAAAAACAAACCACCTGGTGTTGACTATCTTGATCATACGTTGCTTTTTTTAATAGTTGCAATCATTGCTCCTATTATTGCTCATCGAATTAATATCTGTTTTATGAATAATATATATTTGCAAGAATGGAAAATATGTAAAGTAATGCCAATACCTAAAAATAAGAAAATGCCCCTTCAAATAAAAATAATGGAAATAATTGTTAATGAACATATTCAGTCTTATTTTAAGAACAATGATTACAAATGTTCAACATGCATATAGAGAAAAACACTCAACAGCCAGTGCTCTGACTCAGATGGTTGATGACTGGTTCAAGGATATGGAGGAGAGGAAAATAATAGGTGTTGTAATACTTGATTTCACTGCAGCGTTTGATATCATTCACCATGAATTACTGCTTAAAAAACTGGGGTATTATGGTTTTTCACAAACTGCATTGTTGTGGATGAAAAGTTATTTGTCAGATAGAAGAAAACTAGTTTATTTCGATGGCACTTTTTAGAAGGTAAGGGCTGTGGAACATGGGCCGCTCCTTTACACAATCTTTACATATGACACCTCAAATGTCTGTGTTACTCCCTTTTATTTCTTTATTTTTTTATTCCTTATTTTTTATTTTGTTTTTCATACATGTACACGTGCACCTTAATCCTTATTTATTTTGATATACTTTATATATATTGTTTATTCTTAATGCACCTTTTTCCTCCTTGTTTTGCACCTTCTTTAAGTACTATGCCAATATGTGACAAGTGAATTTCTCTGCTGTGAGATCGATAAAGCTCATCTAATCTAATCTAATCTACCAATGATCTTGTTTCTGTTTTAGATACTGTAAAGCAAGCATCTCAAAGTTTGCAGATGATTTTATTATATATTAGCAGCAACTAATATTAGAGAGTTAAATACAAAACTACAAAGAGAGCTACAGTTAGTGGTGGACTGGGTAAGGAGCAATAAACTGGTTCTCAATGTATCTAAAACTATCTCTTTAGTGGTTGGAACTCCTTT